AGTATAAAGACTGCAAAGGCTGAAAAATCTTGACGTCTGTATGAAATTGGAGGTAGTTTGAGGATTAAATTTTTTATACTTTTTAAGCTCAAAAATGTGGGGGGTCGTATTATACATGAGATCGTATTATACATGAGATCGTATTATACACGAATAAAAACGGTAAGTAGGGCTTTCGATTTGTACTTTTGCATTGCTGGGTTAGTTTGAGTCAGAGTTAAATCCTGTCCATGCAGCTGGTCTGAACACACACATGCAGAGAGTATTGTAAAAATAACYTCAAATGACAAAATAATTATGAAAGATAATAGCTATCTCTCTGAGACAAGAATGTAACTTTAAGAATTTTCGTCTTTAAATTGATTTTAACCACTTTCCAAAGTACAATAACCTTAATTATAAAAGGGAGATAATAGTACAAAACTGCCTTCAGCAACCAAACCACTGCTCCTTTTGTTTGTGTGGTTCAGCTGTTATTTTATACATAGTCTTCATTTGTCTATATCCCACACACACACACACACACAAAAAGTGATTGCACGATCATGTCCCATGATAGTGAGGAGCATTCCAGCACTTCCTCCTAAACCCATTACATTCCCTCCCAACCACACTGCAATTACTCCCCCCCAGYTCCATGGAACAGCTGCCTGGCCACAAAAAAGTCACATCTTGTGTCAGAAACTCCCAAAATACAGTAGCTGTAATTGAAACAAACGTCTTTTACTGCAGCCCACACCACTTCTGCACAWTTGACTGAGATCCATAACAAACAAGCATGTTGATGTTTTGTAGCGGCCGATGAACGTTGAGCTCTCAGTGTAAAATGTTTAACGTTAAAAGGGTTTTGATAAAACTTTAGTTCTACGTATTCAGGCTTATCACTTGCTGGACCAAATATTTTACAGCCAATATTTAAGTTCATCTCTTTTTTTTTTTACCTAGTTTTTGTTCAGGGCTCTTCGTCTAATCTAGAGTTGGTATTAAATGTAACAAATGTGACTTTAGCTTGTGGATCAAGTGTGACCACCCTGAGCTACCCTCTTCTAACAAACTTTGTATAACGGTCACATCCAATAACTACTTTAAAAATGTACTCATTAATCTGCTGACCAGTCAGTTGATCCACCTGTTACTACTTTCACAACTAACTTCTAGAGGTCATTTTTAATCCTAAATATTACAAAATCAGGTTTATTGGCCAAGTATTTTGACACATACAAGGAATTACAGTTAAAGGGATCCATGATTAGTTGTAACATTAGACTGTATTTGATAAACATATGTTTTAACTGTAAAATAAAGACTAAAAATACTGTAGGATGTTTAGTTGTTATCATTATTAAACTAAAAGTTTAAAAATATATTACACGGATGAGGCCATTTTATTTACACGCAAAGCATTCTGGGTAAATGATGACGTGGATATGTCCTCGGTGCGAGGCTGCTAGCGAGCTATATCCACCCTGAAGGTTAAAGTGTAACTTACCCCCCCTGTGAAAAGATAACTCAGCCCCAAGGCGAAATTTGAAAAATGCATCAAAGTGGGT